CCTCTCCCCCTCCCTCTCCAGTCCAAAGAGCAGTCAGGGTTCCCTGCCCTGTGGAAAGTCCAAGGTCCTCCCCCCTCCATCCTGGTCTAGGAAGGTGAACATCCAAACTGGTTAGGCTCCCACCAAGCCAGCACATGAAGTAGGATCAAAACCCCGTGTCATTGTCCTTGGCTTCTCATCAGCCCTCATTGTTCGCCATGATCAGAGAGTCCAGTTTTATCCCATGCTTTTTCAGTCCCAGTCCAGCTGGCCTTGGTGAGCTCTCAATAGATCAGCCCCACTGTCTCAGTGGGTGGGTGTACCCCTCGTGGTCCTGACATCCTTGCTCGTGTTCTCCCTCCATCCGCTCCTCATTGGGACCTTGGGAACTCAGTCCGGTGCTCCAATGTGGGTCTCTGTCTCTATCTCCATCCATCTCCAGATGAAGGTTCTATGGTGATATGCAAGATATTCATCAGTGTGGCTATAGGAAAGGACCATTTCAGGCTCCCTCTTCTCAGCTGCCCAAGGACATAGCTGGGGACATCTCCTTGGACACCTGGGAACCCCTCTAGAGTCAAGTCTCTTGCCAACCCTAAGGTGGCTCCCTTAATTAGGATATATATTTCTCTGCTTCCGTGTCCACCCTTCCTTTATCCCAACCGTCCCATTCCCCCAAGCTCCCCCATCCTCCCCTTTGAAAGTAGTTGTTCCATTTTGTATTCATTTTTCTTTTTTCTTTAAATAGAAGGAAACCAAAGGAATGATCTCATTAAAAGTAATTCCTAATCAGCAGAGTCGTCTTCCTGCACTACAGGTATGTAATACAATTTTCTCTGTTGTGCTGTTTTGTGTTCTTTGAGATTTTATTAAAAGTGACACAATTCTATAACTAAGTTCTGAGTCTCTTACAGGTGTTTATCCGCTTGGTGTAGAATCCTATTATGCATTCTCTCAACTAAAATATAAGAGCTCATCTCTTTTTCTTTTTTCTTTTCTTTTCTTTCTTATTTCTGTATGCTTGTTCATTTCTGTCCAGTGCACATGTGTGGATGGCAGAGGACAACCTTGGGTGTTATTCCTCAGGTGTCATTCATCTTTGTCTATATGTAGGGGGTGTCCTATGAGTGTGTGTGTGCATGAATACATGTGTGTGTATATGAGAGTGGAGGCTAGAGGTTGATATTAAATATGTTTTCTTTACCTCACTTCACCTTTATTTTTTTGAAGCAGGGAACCTGAAATTTACTAATTTGGATAGAATGGTTGGCCAATGAGCTTCAGGTATTCACATGTCTCTTCCCTAACCCTCTTCCCCTAGTACTGGAATTACAGGGAGCACATCATCGTGCCTGGCCTTTTGAGTGGACTCTGGGAATCTAAACTTAGGTCCTCATGGTTGTGTGGTAGTCACTTTATCAACTGAGATATCTCACTAGTTTCCCTTTTTTTGAGACAGAGTTCCACTGAACCCCATAAAAGTGTATGACACTAAGCTTAATTTTTTAATGTGAGTTCTGAGGATCAAACTGAGTTTGATCCTTGGAAGGTAAGCACTACATCAACTCAACACTCAGCACTTTATTCCTTTTTCTTTGAGGAAGAAGACAATGGTGGAGGTGATAGGAACAGGTTATTAGTAGTTGAGGAATAGATGGGACAGGACCTTGGAAAATGGATGTGCAAAAGGTTTGGTTTTTAAAAATATCTCAGGTTGGAGAGATGGTCGAGGACCTGAGTTTGGTTCATAGTACCCACATCAGGTACCTCACAGTAGTCTGTCTATAACTCTAGCTCTAGGGGATCTGATCTTCTGGTCTCCGCAGGCAACTGCACATGTGTACACATAAGTAAAAACAAATAAAAATAAATAAAATATCAAACCTGAAATTTCTATCATAGGTTACTTGTAGTATGATAGTACAGTCTTAAACTTTTAAATTGAAGTTTTGTTGTTTATGTACATACATGTAACAAAGTGAATAGATCACAAGTATAAAACTTGTATGTATTCATAAACTGAACACATAAATTGAGCCAATTCAAAATTCAGAATATTGTAGATGGAAGTTTCTGTCCTGCACAGTCCTGCAGCCTTTCAGTCACAGCAAAACACACATAGGCTTATATTAATTATAAACTGTTCTGCCTCTTAGCTCAACCATATTATTTAAGTAGTTCTTACAACTTAAATTAACCCATAATTCTTGTCTATGTTAGCCACGTGGCTTGGTACCTTTTATCAGTGAGGCTTTCTCATCTTGCTTTCTCTGCTTCTGGATAACAGCTACAGACTGAGCCTTTCCTCCTCTTAGAATTCTTCTAGTCTGTTCATCCTGCCTATACTTCCTGTCTCTCTACTGGCCAATCAGCATTTTATTAAACCAATAAAAATGACAAATCTTTACAGGGTACAAGAGCATTGTCCCACAGCAGAATATGTCCAGCATCTATGACACCTTATTACCACAACCCTGAGTTATAACATAAGAGAAGAGTTTTACTTCATTTTGAAATTTATATAAATTGAACTACATTGTAGGAATTCTTTTGAATGCCATTGCATTTATTCAGAATTGTATTTAAATTAATCATCCAGGTTACTTGTAGCAATATATGATTCAGTTTCTCTGATTCATTGTATAAATGTGCTGCAGTTACTCATCCATTCTGATACTACTGAGCTTTTAGGTTTCCAGCTTTTTTTGCTATGAACTTTGTTGGATGTGTGCTTTATACCTTTACTTTGGGGGATAGAATTGATGGGTTTTAAGGCACAGGTATGTTTTCATTTTAGAAGATATTGCCCAGCAGTCTTTGAAAGTAGTTGTTCCATATTATATTCTCAGATATACTTGTATGACACTTCTGTTTCTTCCATATTTTTCACCAAAATTTAGAATTGTCTGGTTTTGTTTGTTTGGCCATTATCTGGGGAATATTATGTCATAATTCTCATTGTATTTCTCTGATAATTGGGAAATGCTTCCTTTACTATTTATATTTTTTTGCCACTTAAATATACTTGTTTGGCAAAGCTTGAATTTTTTCTTACCAAATTGTAGGAGTCCCTCATATTTTCTGAAGTGAAGAGTCCTTTGTCATGTGTATCTCAAATATGCTCCTTTTTAATTTTCTTCATGGTACCATTAATGACTAAAGAAGATTCTAATTGACTAATGAAATCAAAATAGCTACCTTTTTCCCTCATATAATCAGCACTTTATGTTTGTTTAATTTTCTTTTTGCTTACAAGGTCAAAAGGACACACTTCTATATTTTTTTCTAAACCCATGTAGAATTAAATTGATTTTTGTGTAGGTTATTGTAAAGTAAGAGGTCAAGGTTTCAATTTTTCCATATGGATATCAGTAGACTCAATACTATTAATTGAAGTAAACATCCTGTTCATATGATATATGCCCCATCACTTTTATCATAAGTCATATATGTAGGCATATTTTGTGTAGTTGGTCTATGTATTTATCGCTGCATTAAATCTCCATATCATTTTGGAGAAAGGAGACATCTTTATAAAATCCCAGTAGAAGTGATGATGGTGTAATATTTTCTTTATTTCTCAGTATAGAAGAGAAATCTTTTAGTATTTCATTGTAAAGTATGTTGACTGTAGGTTTATTAGTTTATTTTTATTATTTTAATTATGTGTCTGTGTGTATGTGCATATGAGTGCAGGGGCTTATAGAGGCCAGAAGATTTCCCTGAAGCTAGTTGTGAGCCACCTAATATGGGTGCTGGGAGTCACACTCAGGTCCTCTGCAAGAGCAGTACTTGCCATCTTAACCATCCCTCCAGCCCCGAGCTATAAGGTTTTTGAAGGTATTCATTAGATTCAAGGAGCTACCTTCTGGTTTCTTTCTTTGTGTGTTACTAGTGACAAGATCATATGATTTTTCTCCATTTTATGTTAATGTCACAAACTTTGTGTTGCTGAATGAGATCCTGTTTGATTGTGACTTCATATCCTTATAATAAATTGCTGTGTTTGATGTACTATTTCATTTTGGATTTTTATATTCTTGATCCTCAGAGAAACTAGAAGATTTTTGTTAGATTTGGGTATTATGGTTATGAGTTTGGAGGCTTAAAGTTCCCTGCTATTTGTATTTTGGTAAGAATAACTTATTTCTTAAGCTCTTTCAAAATTTGACCAGAGAAGAACCATAGGATCTTGTCAAATGTATTGATGGGAAATTGTTCATAAGATTACATTTTGAGTGTGTGTATACATATACACATGTGTGTAGAGTTGTGTGTACTCTCAGAGACAGTGGAGGACGTTGGGTATTCTTCTTTGCCGCTCAATGACTTATTCCCTTGAAATAGGGTCTCTCACAATTTCAGTTAGGCTGAATGGCCAGCAAGTTTCTGAGATTCACCTATGTGCCACCATCTGTGGGCAGTCATGCTTGATTATCACAATATCCTATTAAAACCTTTTAAATATCTTTAAGAGCTTTACTAGTAAATTGGTTTTTTCTTTGGTTTTTTGAAACAGAGTCTTACAATGTAGCTCTGGCTGTCCTGGAACTCACTATGTAGACTAAGCTGGTCTTGAACTCACAGAGTCCACCTGCTAGAATTAAAGGAGTGGGCTATTATATGTGGCTTTTTTACTAGTAAACTGTAACCTTCCTGTTCTTAATTTCATTAATCTTTTCAAAGAGCCAGTTGACCCTTTTAGGTTTTCTCAATGGTGTTTTCTATTTAAATTCTTTCTGCTCGTTATTTCTTTCATTATTTGTTTGAGCTTTATTTATGCTCCTTAATGTTATTACCACAGATAACCATTGTCCAAGTTTGCTTTCTATTGCTATAACAGAACATTCTGACTTAAAACAACTTGGGAGGAAAGGGTTTATTTCAGCTTACATTTCAAGGTCACAATGTATCCAGCTAGGGTTGAAACTCAAAGCTGGAATCTGAGGCTGGAACACAGAGGAATGCCATTTACTAGCTTGCTCTCTTGATTGCTCTCTCCTGGCTTTCTTACACTAGCCCTCTTGCCCATATGATGATGCTGGGATGATGCTGCCCATAATGGTCTGGCTCCTCCCATATCAAGTCATCAGTCAACACAATTTGTAACAGACATGGCCACAGGCCACTCTGAAGCTATTCTTCAATTAAGGTTCCCTCTTCCCAGATTACTCTAGGTTATGTCAAGTTGATCATTAAAAACTAACCAAGAAAATCAGTATTAAATTCTAATATAAGTTCTTCTAGTCACTTTTTTCTATGACTTTTTTAAATTTTTGACCATTCTGGGTGTTATTTTGTTTAATAATGTTCTTATTTCATAGAGTCAGCAGGATTGCCAAGGACATTAGATATTTTACAAGTTGAGTTTTTGTGTGGTAATATACTCAGCAGATACTTAACCATTTATCATGAATAAATAGTATGTCTTAGGAAATTAAATTGTTTCTAATACTTCACTCTTAGAAATAATGCTGTGATACACATGCTTATCTACATAATCATTACAAGCAGCTCGTTTTATGTAAGATAAATGCATAGTAATCAAGGTAGGGAAAAAATGTCAACGTTTGAAGATGATAAACACATTTATATTGCTAGACTGTCCTCTAGAAAAGGGTTTATCAACTTTACCATATTTATAAGAGTATCTTGTCAAGGAAACAGATCCATTTCAGATGGATGGTAGCAGATCTGTACTCTGAGATGGACAACTGTGATTCAATAGCTGGCATTTCATGGAAGATACTTTCTTATTAAAAGAATCAGTTTGGGTTCTTTTCCAAACACAACAGTAAGTAGTTAGGAACATCCAAGCTGCACATGTTTGAGTCTCTGCTACCATTCTTGCCTCATTCCTGCTCATTTCCCATTTCCTTACAGTGGGACTTTTTATGTATATACTCTCTAGCCACTGGTGTTTTTCCTGAGGTATTCTTTGCCTTCTTTTACAGATGTTCATGAGAGCACAGTTCGACTATGATCCCAAAAAGGACAATCTTATCCCTTGTAAGGAGGCAGGACTGAAGTTTGTTACTGGAGACATTATCCAGATTATCAACAAAGATGACAGCAACTGGTGGCAGGGGCGGGTGGAAGGCTCTTCCAAGGAGTCTGCAGGATTGATCCCTTCTCCTGAGCTGCAGGAATGGTGAGCTACATTTGTGCTGGTGGAAAGCCCCTGCTGTAACTAATTGCTTAGCTTCAGAAATCTGTTTTGTGTATATTTTTCATTTTTCCTAAACATATGTCCTAGTTTGCTTTATGTAATGGATAAGGAATGGTTCACAGGAGTTGATATGGTTCATTTTATGGCCATTTATTGCAGGCAAAGGAACTAGTTATAGAGCCCTCCCCCTGCTTCCTGCATATCTTCAACCACTCAGTACTGTTTTAAGAAAACTTCTAAAACCGGCACATTTTAAGTATGTGTCCTTTATACAGATTCTTGTCCTCCAGTCAGATTGCTCACTTAGTGCAAGGCAGCCCCACATAACCATTAGAGTGGTAGAAAAATCCATATCCACTGCCTGTGGAAAATAACATTACAACCTCAAAGATTATTAGTTCAGACCTAATTATTTCTTTTTTTTGAGATTATACTATAATTACATAATTTCTCCCTTTCCTTTCTTCCTTCCAAACCTCTCATATATCCCTCTTTATACTTTTTGAAATTCATGGCCTCTTTTCACACACACACACACACACACACACACATTCCTAAATACATGAGTACAACCTATCCAGTTATCTATCCAATACCAAAAGGGTCAGCTCTGCAAACATACTATAGACCTTTAGTTTTAAGCCAGAATTCTATTGATCCCATTTCCAGTGATGATAAATAGCACCAAAACACGGGATATGTTTTGTAGAAATAAATTTTAATGTTAGAGCAACAGAGGAAATACAGTGCAGACCTTGAAAATATTAGTCAAAGCCTCGAGTATGCTGTCTGTGTCTTCTGGGCCATTTTCAGAGCTAACACCTGGTAATGAGCATTGGAAGATCAGGAAAGGCAGGTAACTTGAGAAAGACCCAAGAGGACACAAGGTGAAGCTGTGGCTCATGACTTATTAATGAGGCATGAATCAAGTTAGTAGGCTATAACAGGTATTTTTTTTTTTAAAGTGAGGATCAGGTATCATAGCTCAGGCCTGTAATTCAGAATGCTCAAGGCTGAGGCAGGTTCAGTGCCACCTGGGCTACATAGACCCTGTCTCAAAACAAAAGATAATGCATAGAAACATCAGCATAAATTACACAGTGATAGGTGGTATTCTTACTAAAGTTATTGCTTTAGCCATGTATGTGGTAATATATGCATACCTGTGCTTCATTTATAGATTAGAGTTGTATATTTCTTTATGGTGAAGTGAGTGTCAGCCTGATTTTCCAGCTCTCAACTCAAAGGTGGAAGAATAGGCTGCAATAAGAGGGGGAGGGATTATTTTTTTCCACTGCCAAGTACCTGGGTGACCACATAAAATTGCGGAGAAGAAAGGAAAAGAAGTGGGTGAGGCCATCTCTGCCTGAAAAACGTTACAGAGTCAAAGAAGTAGGTCAGTCTCAAAACTTAACTACAGAAAAGAAGGTAGGTATTCTAATCTGTCACATACTTTTATACTGAGTACCTACTGAGCTTTGGTCATTTGTTTCTCACAGGAGAGTGGCAAGTGTGGCTCAGTCTGCTCCAAATGAAGCTCCAAGCTGCAGTCCCTTTGGGAAGAAGAAGAAGTATAAAGACAAGTATCTGGCTAAGCACAGTTCAAGTAAGTTTTCTGTGGCTCCTTCCTCCAAGGTCCCAGTAGCATGAATGTTTCTCCACCTCTTTAACCAGAAGGAAAAAGGTGAGGATGCAGTATGCAATGGAATGTTTAGTATATAGAAAGTATTCCATTTCTTTTGGTTTTCCCTTATACATTTCATCTTCACAAACTCACTGCAGTCAGAAAGACAATGCCAATGCCTATTCTGGAAGGCTAGTAGTCTGTCCACTTTCTGATTTGTTTTATTATCTATCATACTTCCTTATCACATAGAAATATCCAACATCCCTCCTAGCAAACACCCCTAATTTCATGCATGGTCTCTCTCCCTTTATTTTTTTTTCTTTTTTGAAGCCAAGGCCTCAGTGCTAGGATTGCAGTCCTGCACCACCACACTCAACTATATCTCCTTGCTGGATCAGGTGTCAGCTCCTTAACCCCAGCCAGTGCTTTACCACTCCACCTCTGAAAATTAATATGGTTTGATTTTCTTTGTCTCTAGTTTTTGACCAGTTGGATGTTGTTTCCTATGAGGAAGTTGTCCGACTCCCTGCATTCAAGAGGAAGACCCTGGTTCTAATCGGTATCTTTTCACAGCTTTGCTAATTCAAGAGCACAATTCTGTCCTTATTTCCAATCCTGTATTATGTGTCCACCCTTCTTCAAGAAAGGCAGTGAGGAAAAAAATGAAGTGTGGTCTTTTGGATACTTCAACTTCATGTATTATAAATAAGTTTCTGGATCTTACAAGTAATCTATTTGGATCCAATTCTCATTACAAATTTTTCTACTTAGCATCTAATTCTTTTAGATTAGGTTTGCTATATTTGTCCACCTATTTGGTTGGCTTACAAAATAAACAAAAAGCTACACAGTAGCTGGTTCCTCTGTGGAAATAGCAATTATGTTCTACATGTTAACTTTTGAGCCTTAGAAAGACTTCTCCTCATGTAAATAGATACTAAGGAATTGGAGCTACAAGGTGGCCTCAAATCTTCTTGATAGCTCTAAGGACTGTTGTAACATCAAACTATTTTCATCTTGTAGCCACTCTGAGCACTGGGATATAGAAATCCATCTCCCATTCCCTGTATTGTTCCCACAAATGTTTTTAGATGAAAGTGATGGAAGGTTTTCTTTATCCTCACACAGGAGCCAGTGGGGTAGGTCGCAGCCATATTAAGAATGCTCTGCTCAGCCAGAATCCAGAGAAGTTTGTATACCCTGTCCCATGTAAGTATTTCTCAGGTGCCTTACAGGGGAACATTATGCCTAAGAGACAGGCAGCAATATCATATTACTGAATTTAGCATCAGTATTCTTCTGAAATGTCTTATGGTCCTGTTTTTTTTTAATGTTTAATAATGAGCACTGAAATTTTAGGGAATGGGGAGAAAAGTTCTTGGAAAATGTGAGGTCATGATTACAGTCTTTGGAATCCACATTGAAAAGCCTGGCATGGTGGCATGTACTTTGAACCCATGGAAGTGGAGATAGAAGATCTGTAGCTTTCTTGACTGTGCTCAAAGCCAATGAGAAGACCCTATCTTAAAAAGAAAAGAGGTGTACAGCTCCTGAGAAATGTTACCCAACATCTCCTTTATATATGAACATATGCGCCAACACACACACACAAAAAAAAACCTAAAAAATTAGAAACAAACATGTACTTATGAGCAGGCTGGGGAGAGGACTGCTAACCCTAAAAACATGAATTAGATCCCTAGATCCCACATGGTAGGAGAGAACTGGCTCCTACAGGTTGTCCTCTAACTTTCATATGCACATCATGGCATCTCTCTATCTCTCTCTCTCTCACACACACCAGTGTGTACTTATAATTGCTTGAAATAACAAAATAACTTGTTTTCTTCTCTTATTCCATATAACAGTACCTGTAGTAAACAACATTTTTTTAAAAATTATTGCCGGGCAGTGGTGGCACACACCTTTAATTCCAACTCTCAGGAAGCAGAGGCAGGCGGATCTCTGTGAATTCATTCAAGGCCAGCCTGGTCTACAGAGCAACTTGAAAGACAAGTTCCAAAGCTACACAGAGAAACCCTGACTGGAAAAAAAATTGTTGACAGAGGTTTCTGTCCCACCAGGTCCCACTCTGTTTAGTCCCAAGTAAATACACAGAAGCCTACATTAATTATAAACTGGTTAGTCTATTAGCTCAGGCTTCTTATTAATTCTGATACCTTTTATTAGGCCATTATTCTTGTCTGTGTAGGCCACGTGGCTTGGTAAATTTTTGGTGAGGCAGTCACATCTTCCTACCTCTGTGTCTGGATGATGACTGCAGACTGCCTCTTTCCTCTTCCCGGAATTGCCCTGCCTCTACTTCCTGCCTGGTCACCCCACCTATACTTCCTACCTGACTACTGGCCAGTCAGCATTTATTTAAAACACAAGTGACAGGGTACAGACCATTGTTCCATGGCACAAAATTAAGACTGTGAATGGGGGCTAAAGAGATGGCTCAGCGGTTAACAGCCCTACCTGCTCTTCCAAAGGTCCTGAGTTCAATTCCCAGCAACCACATGGTGGCTCACAACCATCTGTAATGAGATCTGGTGCCCTCTTGAGGAAGAGAGGTCAGTCATCCTTATCAACTTAGACCATGAAACCCAATATGGACAAGTTCAACACAACTGCCATATACAGGCTGCCCCCCTCATGCATGGTAGAATGTGCCTTAAATCTCAGCACTGGGGAGGCAGAGGCAGGTGTATCTCTAAGTTCAAGGCCACCCTGGTCTAGGACATGAGTTTCAGGACAGCAAGAGGTACACAGAGAAACCTCTCTTGAAAAACCAAAAAGAAAAAATACTAAGCAAGAACTTTTACATGTATTACTTTATAAATGATTTCTCAGTGCCCTCTACTGTCTATCTAATTATCTGTTCTTTCCTTCCACCGTACGTGGTTCCTGGAGTCGAACTCAGGTCATAAGCTTTCTGTGGCAAGTGCTTTTACCTACTGAGAAATTGCCAGCCCTAACATTTTAACAAAATGTTTAAATCAAACCAATGTGTTCTTCTTTCCATGTCATAAAACAGAAACAGGGCTGGAGAGATAGCTCTGTGACTGAGTGCTTGCTTTTCTTGCAGAAGACCAGAGTTTGCTTCCCAGAACCCAACATTAGGCATTTTACAAACACCTGTACCTGCAGATCTAAGGTACAGATTTAAGGCGTTCAGTTCATCCCACAGCGCCAAAAGTGGCCCACTAGGCACTTGCATTCCACGCGCCCGGCTCCACGCCAGTGAGTCGGGCTTCTTACCCATTTAAAGTTTGAGAATAGGTTGACATCGTTTCGGCCCCAAGACCTCTAATCATTCGCTTTACCGGATAAAACTGTGTTCTGCGAGAGCGCCAGCTATCCTGAGGGAAACTTCGGAGGGAACCAGCTACTAGATGGTTCGATTAGTCTTTCGCCCCTATACCCAGGTCGGACGACCGATTTGCACGTCAGGACCGCTACGGACCTCCACCAGAGTTTCCTCTGGCTTCACCCTGCCCAGGCATAGTTCACCATATGCCTTATTCTGGCCTTCATGGGCATAACATACATGTGCACACACACATATAAACTATTTTTCTAAAGAAACCAGATTTCCAGAAATTCTCTACCACAGCCTGTAGATTTATATTAAGTTTTAGCTTTCATTTCTAAGTTTCAGTATTCCTGGGTTCGTTGGCTTTATGTGGGAAGAATGATGTAAATATTCTGCCTGGGGCTGTCTCTTGAATTTTAAATATATTCTGGGTGGAAGGATTTTCTTGTCTGTACTACATCCTAACATCAGCCCTTCAGGAGTTCATGGGAAGAACATCTATTATATTATCTGCCCCAAACATGGGTAGGGTTTCCATACAGACACTTTGGGCCAAGCCATTAAGAGATGGCAAGAATCAAGAGAGTCCTTGTACACAGATACAACACGGCCACCAAGGAAGAATGAAGAAGATGGAAAGGAATATCACTTCATCTCAACAGAGGAAATGACAAGGAACATCTCTGCCAACGAGTTCTTGGAGTTTGGCAGCTATCAGGGCAACATGTTTGGCACTAAATTCGAAACAGTGCACCAGATTCATAAGCAGGACAAGATTGCCATCCTTGACATTGAGCCCCAGGTGGGTAGGCACACAAAGGCAAGAACAGTGGGTTCACCCATATAATGGGAGGAGGGGCGATGAAAAGTAGAGCTCCTGGAAACTTGGAAGTTCAGGTTTGCTTCCTAAATTTTTAATGGAGCCAGCCTGATGCAAAAACAGTAGTAACTGGAAACAATGCTAAGTGGTATTGGGGATTGGTAATGCTTTATTAGAAAGAATACACTTTAACAGACAGCTGGGTTTGTTGTTTCTTTTTTTCCTTCATTTCCTAGACCCTGAAGATTGTTCGGACAGCTGAGCTTTCACCTTTCATTGTGTTCATCGAACCTACTGATCAGGGCACTCAGGTGGGAAATGGGTCATGCAAGGTGGGTGGAGGTTCACTCCTTCTAGATCGTGGTTAGCTGTTTCCTCCAAGGTTAAGACAAAAGGGCATGCATACTTCATTCAAGAGATAGTAATTAAACAAGTCACGCCGTCATTGTCCTAGATAATACAGATGTTATAACTAAGATGGACAGTTAAGTAAATCTTGAATCTGATGAGACTCATGACAGAGCAGAGGGAGCTATGAAGGACAAGTGTGGCACCAGAACCACCATGGGGTACAGTATGGCTACAAAGGGAAAGGAGTCTGCAAGAGTGGCTGTTTGCTTTCCTCTATAGCATGTCATTATACCGAAAACAAAATAAGAAACCTCTATAGCATGTCATTCATTACATTTTAAATTTTTTTGCCTATATTTTATAAGTGTGGCAGTTCACTTTGTTTTACTGTAAGAGATTATTTTCTTACTATTGAGAGTCACAATTCCACCATTTGAGGAGGGATAAAAGGAGGATCAAGAGTCCAGCGCCTTAGTTAAGTTAAAGCTCAAGGCCAGTCTGGACTACCAAGAGTTTGAGGCCAGCCTGGGCTAGAGTTCAAAGTCAGAACATATATATTGAGACTGTCAAACGAACAAAACAGCTGTTTGTGTTGCTTGTGTATGAATTTTCTGGCTGTCCTTAGTTCTTGTTTCCACCAGGTTAGTAGTTTCTTATCATTCATTCCTTTCTAATTCTGTACTTGGGTATTTCACTCTGATGTTAAAAGTATCCCCACCACCACTACCATGGCATGTATTTCTCTATACATTTTTACTAACGCTAAACATTGGAGCTAGAAGCCTATTGTCAATAATCTTTGTCCTTATCCTAGGGTTACAAGTCAGTAGTTGTTAAAAATGGCTTTTCCATGTACAAAGGGATGAGGCTTAAGTGGATGGTGCTAATGAAGCCTATGCTAGGTTGCTACTGGCCTTTCAGAGGGCTCTATTTATAATTAGGAGTAATTTGGGATCCTTTAGTACAGTTGTTCTCAACCTGTGGGCCACAACATCTTTGGCAAACACTATCAATGAAAATAATTTGATGTTTAGAGGTCACAACATAAAGAACTGTTTTAGCCAGGTGGTGGTGGTGCATGCCTTTAATCCCAGTTTGGGAGGCAGAGGCAGGTGGATCTTGGTTGGCCTAGTCTACAGAGCAAGTTCCAGGATAGCAAGGACTGTTACACCGAGAAACCGTGTCT